CATTCATTCACAGTGAACGGAGCCGCTCTGAGACGCGGAAAACACCGGATCACGAGCCGATCGCGTGCGCTGCACAATGTGCGCGCTTCACTTTGAAACAAGCAGCGCAAACAGACTTGATAAGTCATATTACGCTTTCGGTTTTAATTCGTTTGTCCGATACTTGCCAAAGCAATGGCGTGATACGGTGACGCATTGCTGCCACACACATTTTTTTTTCACTCAGTTATGTCGTAATAACGACATCTTTTCTCGTAATAACGAGATGTTTTCTCGTTAAAAAGATACCTTTTCTCGTAATAACGAGATGTTTTCCCGTTATTATAGATATATGGTACATTATGTGAGCGAGCTAAGCGACTGTCCGCGCTGCTGTCGCCACAGTCTGACATAAACCAGGATCTGCAGGCGAAAGTCGAGGCAAGTTGTGGCATTTGCACTTGTTCTTTTGATAAGGCGACCAGATCACGAGCCCAACCTCGTATGATGTTCCCAGGCGCGCGCACATTTAACGACATTTAACACTCATATCTTCATCAGCGATCTTCATCATCACCATCCTCATCAGCCCTGGAAGACGTCGAGTCGTTTTGGACCCAAAAGTCATGGATGTATGGTTCTGTTCAGCGGTTCCAGTGTTCACCTGGAGGCTTCTCTTTCTTTCAAGCATCTTCCAGGGTTATTGGAGCTCCATGCTCGATTGTCCACTAACATGCAGCTGTTCGCCCATTGAGATCTATTGCAATAAGTCCGACAGTGGAAATTTCTTCCCTTTACTTGCTCTACAAGATCCGGCGAGCAATGGCAGTAACAATAATGACATCGAAGAGCTCTTCAGGAACATCACGTCCATGTAAGTGGGCTTCTGTGCGTCCCTCTCCTACTGCGCAAAATGTTGATAAATAAATATATATATATATTTCGCAGCTACTTCTTCATATAGTCAAACTTGGGTTCTATATCAAAGGTGCACTGTTATATCAACTTTTATGTTGTATATTATGCATTGCAAAACTAATTCGATGATTTAGACATTTGCAATCTCAGTAAAGACACCAAATAATGATTTCCCCCCCGTTTTATTTAAGAGCGTTTTAGCATATTACCAAACACTGAGGATATCGATGATGCTAATGCCGTTTTGCTGGTGCCAATTTTATGTCGTGCTTCTGCATTCATTAATGATCAAAGCGTGCAAGAACCTGTTTGCGTTCTCATTGATTTAATCAATGCAACCAAGTTTGTTTTTTTCATATTATTGAATGAAACCTCCTTAAGGAAATGCTCATTTTGAAATGACTGCAAGCGTACACATTGGAATTAGTAGCCTATTGTCCACTCCACCCTTATTGCTCGAAATGGATTGTTTGTAGGTGTTCATTAATATTCAATTCTAAACATAAATCCGTGACATTTATATTATAGAAGTGATTGCAGTGATAATGTAACGCCGGTAATGGATGATTTGAAGTGAGCAGCTGTGCACCAACAGGTTACAGATATTTCTTTCATTCAGCACTCTGGACAGCTCCTACAAACTGGGTGATTAAATTTACAGTCTTGATCTGTTATAAAACTTACATATTCATATAAAATATGAGAGTGATCTACCTGTTTTTCTTGCTGTCAGTCTATGTTTTCATCTGTCTGTTAGTCCATTTCATGGCTGGCTGTATATGCTATGACAGTGGTTTTTTTAGTGAACACATGATTTATTTAGATGCTGGCTCAGAAAATGGAGGGTATCCGTCAAAGTTTCAGTTTTTCAGGCAAAGTGTCTGTCCTTCGTGTGTGAAATTCTGTATAAGAGCTGGCTTGTCTTCCTCACTGAAGGTTTTTGAACCAAAATCTTTTAATTTTGTGTTCAGTTAAGTTTGGTCTGAGGCTAAATGAATGTATTTAGTGTATATTTGTAAGTTACCTAATATGTCTTTGAACCAAAATATTTAAATTTTATCATTGACATTGAGTTTAGACTGAGACTGAATGGATTTATTTAGTATAATTAACATTTGTAATGCATCTATTGCAAAGCAAGCAGTCTTCACTAAATTTAAGATTTCTAATGCATCTTTGATTTTTGCTGAGGTTGAGTTTAGTCTGGGTTTAGTTTTTGTCTGTATTTTATTATAATATATATATATATATGATTTACTGTTTTCTACATAAAATCATCTTTTATAAGATGAAGCACATTCTGTGAAAATGTAATCTTGATATCTTTAATATTGACTAAGACCATGTCAAAGATTGAGATCATAGTGAAATTAATGGTTAAAATGAAACTTTGATGCTTGTTATCTCATAATTATATTTTGAGACTTTAGCCTGGATTTCACAGAGAGGGTCACATATATATATTGCATATATATTGCATATATATCTTTTGCAATAGCGTCTTTTGCAATAGCGTTTTAAACTTATGACTTACTACAAGCACATCATCAAGTTTGTATGAGGCCGTTTTTGTGTTAAGTAGGTCAGGACTGCCATTTGAGAGTTAAGAAGAACATCAGGGTTTGGCTTTTTACTAGGAAGAAGCATAGCCTAACTATAATGGCACTGACCCTGTCTCTTCCCTGCAGACCCTGATATCCATGCAGTGCTGGATCCAAGTTGTCCTTTAAAGGAAATTTGTGCTCAAATTGGTTTGTCTCTCTTGTAATGGCTATAATAGGGATTTTTGTTGGGGAAGCTGATTGTAGATCAGTGTAAGCGGGCTACTCTGAGCCATCTGCGGGGGCCCCTCTTTTACTGAGGAATATAAATGAAGCACCTACCGAGGCAACAATCAAAAGACGCATTGATAACCTGTGGGAGCAGAGGAGGTTCAAAAAGGAAGTGCTTGAGATCTAGAAACGAGGCTCGGGTTGAGCTGTTTGAGCTTTTGAAGTTTGTTTTTTAAGGTGATTGTATTTTAATTAGCTTATGATGAATCATGGAGACAAACGATAGTTGTGTTCGACATACTGTACTGTAGAGTGGGAGAAACTGCCAGACAAGGCAGTCTATACACCAGTTTTCTTCAACATTTCATATATAAATAAAATCTTAAATCAACTTGCTATGAATTAAATCAGATCAAAAATCAAGAAGTTTATAAAATTACTTTATTTATTTATTTTTTGGCATTACGGCATTATTTTCTGCCAGCAACCAGCCCTCCCATACACACACAAAAAGTAACTAAATAAATAAAATAAACAAAAATAAAAAAAATCTAATTCTCATTATTGTAATGCAAATGTATATATGAATGTGTATTTATCAAGGCAATATGTATTCATATAATATGGTAAAAAATAATAAAAACAACAAAAAATATATTACTGTCTCTTACAGTAATGAGAATCTAATGAGAATCACAGCTGAGAATAATGATAATTACAACAAAAAACCCTCAAATGTAAAACATCCAGACACATTATGGCAATGAGAATTTTGAGGTAAATGTGGTAAATTCCCATGAACAATGTCAAATGCAAAAAAAAATTAGAATGGCCCTAAAAACAGGCTTAATTTGCTTTATGCAAAATGTGATTTATTTTACTTTTTCTTTTAATATTACAGTTAAATGTGATTGTCCATGATTTGCCTGTACCAATTTTTACTTGAACACTAAAATGGTCATGGCTCCTTGTTTAAAAAGTAATAATACACGTACAATAGCATGGGCTATTTCATCCATTCATGTTAAATGAATGAAAGTGAATGAATAAGATCCACGGCCATCATTTGTCATGATTATTGTGCTAGATTATGAGGTTTGAGCTCATTTCTCCATCCTAGCTTGGTCTCTGAACATGGACGTTCACTAAATGGGTGATGGGAAAGACTTTAGGAGATGATGACAATGCCTTGGTGGTCTATAGAAACAGTGAGGATTTGTTTTTGAACAGATCTTATAGCTCTCGTAAAGTCTGCTTTTTCTATTATAATCAGCAAATGTATCCCACAATGTAATGTAATAAAGAGTTGATTTACCCTGCTGTTTCTTTAAATGGAAATGTGCCCATGTCAAGCTCTGTCTGTGTGTTAATGGTGAGGTTTCTAGGTCAAAATGAGCACTATTCTTTATAATTAGAGAGCCTTCCGATAGCTAAAGTTCATCTGAAGGAGCTGCAGTGCTTAATGCAGCATAATGCATAATTATGTTGTATGATATGGATATAGAGAGCAGAAAGAAACTAGATCCAGAGCTTCTGTTTAATTTGAGCCAGTTTAAACTGGCATAACATTTGATTTGATCTAGCACCAATTGAGCCAAAACATGCCATAATTTTACTTGTCATTAGTTTTGAAAATGGCAATATTTTTACTTTAAAACCCTCACTGTAATGAAAATCAAGTTTTCAATATTGTTTAATATCTAGTGTTTTTTATATGCTTAAAGACAAACCATGTGCAAATTCATTAGTCAACACCATTTTTTTTCCTTAAAACTGCGGTGCACCAAAGACAGTCTCAGAATTGTGATTTGAAACAACCCCCGTTTCCTGTTGTCACAAACATGTGACCAATTCCATCTACTTGCAGCTTGGGGCTTTTCATATCATTAGCAAAGTGCTTCTACCTAAAGATGTTGATTTTTCAAAGAACGGGAACATGGTTTGTGAACATTAGCAACACATATTAGCTGTTTGTCATAGTCAAGCTAAAGGCTAATGATAACAATACCATTACATGTCTGCCTGTATAATTCACTCTTCCTCTTCATCTCTGAAATCAGTTTCTGGTTCAAACCTATTTGGATGAATTAATCCAATACTGGCATTTACCATTGTGTAGCGTTTACTATTTCAGTTAACCGATTGAAAATGGATCTGGTAGTCCAAGGTGGGGACTAATTTGCATATTCATGACCCCTTGTATACTAAATGCGGTAATATTCAAGGAATTTTAATGGAACACGCATTAAAATATGTCAATTTGATAGTCAAAGATGAGTTTTAAGGAATAAAATTAGTGACTGCAGGGGGACTTTAAAAATTAATTAGAGATAAAATGAATTGTTCTGAACACAAATGTTTCATTTAATTTTCTCTAAAGAAACAGTTTTCAATAATTTCCATCATAGTTTCCCTTCTATGTCCTGTTTTGTCCCACGTCTCAAGAATCAGTGCAAGATGAGGGTAGAGAGTAAAAAAACATGACAATTTTCAAATTAAATGAGCAAAATATCTCATTAAAAAGATCACATCATGAAAAAATAATATGGTAGCTGTAGGAAATAAAATGGGAGGCACACATCTCACATTAGTGATTTTTACCCTTGGTGTCTGTTTCTCAAGGCAGTAAAAAACAAATCTACATACAGTATAGTTTAATGGCTGCAGCAGCAGTATGACAGCAGAGCGACGCCACAATGACACTCTTTTCGACGCTGCACAGACTTAGTCTGCCACCACAAGACTCGACTTTCAAGATGGCATTATTTCACCATGAAATATTGAACACTTTGAATCCATGAACAAAATGCCTTTGATCCTCCTTTTCTAGGTCACATAAAATCCTACATGCCACAAATTCCTTACCAACACAACTATTTTTAGATCCAATTTAATTAACATTTTCTCTCCTTGAATTTCCTAATTCCTCCTAATTTGTGCACACTATGCTAGTAATGATTGCAATTTAAGCTAATAGGGTAAAGACCTAGGCTGCGAAGTTTTGGATGCGGTCCACAAGACTGTATATTACAAAATGCATCACGGTCCTACCTGCTGCATAACATGCTTGAATAGATTTCAGCTGCCGTTTGACAGAACCTCAGACATATAGGTTCATATAATATCATGAAATGAAATCTGTCAGACATTCACGCGTGCCTTCTTTCCTTCAAGAATATAAGAT